ACGTCTTCTTCTGTTCATTCCTGTTTACCGGCCTCTCTTCTTCTCGACCTCGTCCCCGCCTGTTGATCTTCGGCATCGCTGCATAGTCTCCTTTTTCACCATCTGCACGTGCCAGTCGTGTTTCTTCTCTCCTCCCCATTTACTCCATTCTCCCTTCCCGTTCCTCGCCCCGACTCTGACCCCCCTCTCCCTCTCCAAATCTAACCCCACATGCCACCTCGCCCCCTCCTCCGTCCACACCACTGTCCCGGATGCTGATGCGAACCCATTAGTACCAGATTCATCGACTTCCACTTCCACGCTCCCCGTCGAACCCAATATCCCCCCGCCCTCCAAATATTTCACTCCCAACCCTAATCCCATATCACCCACGTCTACTCCCGACGTTACCACCACCACCACCACCATCACCACCACCACCATCACCTTCAACCCCACCCTCGTCACCACCTCGACCTCGGCCACGCCCATAATCACCCAATCCGCCTACGCTACCAAACGGCCAAAATACAATGTGGCACGTGCCGTCGCCGATGAAGAAAGAGGGGGTTTGGGCGTAGGACAGAGAGTGCACCGGGATGCGTATCTTGTAGCGAAGTGCACGGGAATCCGAACGGGAACAAGAACGGAAGGGTAAAGAGAAGATGGAGCAAGAGCAGGAACAAGCCATCGCAGGGCGTGTTGAACATGCAGACGAAGCTGCTCGACGTGATTCGCAAGTCGGTCGTCGATGCCGCCACGATCGGGACCGGCGGGACTCCCGCTGCTCCAACTGCTCAACCCTACTCCAAGTCCAATCTGCGGAACCGAGGAGCTCATGTCGGATAAGCGGGGCAGGAAACAGCCGTGGAGATCCAACTCGGGACAGAAGCGAGATACTGGAAAGAGAGGCGGGCGAGAGACGCGCAGGCGTGGTTGAGCGAGGTGTTGTATGGCGGTGTGGACGGTGTTGTACTGGTAAGGAGTCTGGCGGATTTTGTGGGTCCTGTTGGGAGATTTGCGGTCGAGGAGGAAAAGGGTGAGGAGGCAGAGGTTGATGGCGAAGTGAGGGATGGGGAGGAGGATGCTAAAGTATGCTTTAGGTCTTCGTGTATGTGTTAATGTTCACGTTTGTTGACCTTGAGCACGTATACATAGAGATTGACTCGGATCCTCAGCGTCAGCGTCTGAGAGACTCACATTCACATCGACATCCAGCGGCAGAAAAGAAAATACATGTGCACTACGCGCTCTGCGAACCCGTCCCTCAATACATCAAACGTACCATAATCGACGCCAGCCTACACTCCTTCGTGCGTGTGGCGTCATATCAGCTACAACACCCCTCAACTCATCGTCCTCAACCTCACTCAAACGCACATCTCCCCAGCGAGCGCTGGTGACGGCCCCGGAGTAGCTCCACAAGGCGGAACTGGGGATCTTTGGGCCTGGGCCTGGTGCGGCAAGGGAGGGGAAGACAACAACTAGAGCGGGCGTGGTAAACGCGTTGGAGGGCTCGAGCGGGCGTCGGAGTCACTCACGAAATTGATTAGAATGTGACTGGGTGAGGCAAAGGCGAGGGAAGGGAAGAAGCAGGGGAGGGAGAATGCGAAGGAGAAGCAAGAGAAAGAGAAGCAGAGCTGGAGTAGGAACTGAGGTAGAATCTATTGCACTGGTGAAGAGGGTGCCATTGGATATGATCGTGAAGATGAGGAAGGAGTCGTTGTCGGAGCATTTGAGGGGGGTGGTGCCGATGTTGAATGATTGAGTTATGTGGGTGATTCTGTATAGGTGGTGGGTTGTCGCTGAGGGAGCCGTGTATGTTGTAAGCAATTAGAAGTACTGACCATCTCAACAAAACAAAACGCTGTGAATGATTACGAGCACGGTAAGAATATGACTACTGCGGATGTCGACAGCTCTTAGCATTCGGTCCTATAGTGTGCATCTGCCCTATATAGTGTGCGCCACGTATAGTGTGGCCACAATGAATTTTTGTACGACGCGATCGCCGTAGGATGTCTTGTTAAAAGTGGATGTGCATATATCACTTGTATGATCCTAAACACCAGTATCACTATCAAACTAATATGATAGCTATGTACCTGAAATTTTCTGGATCTGATTAGGGGCTGATCTCCAGATGAAAACCCTGGTGTCAGATGAATTTTTAGACCTCTCAAATAATTGAGGTAGAAAAGATATATGGTGAGCCTACCTGGAAATACACCCTATATGTCTCTCTGGTTATATATGCAGGTTGTTCTGGGCCAGTCCATGTACCCAGAAATGTTTCTATATGTTTCTTCAGTACCCATACCAATTTCCAGAACATTTCACGGTGATTTGGCGAATATATATCGAAATATTTGCGAAATATTCCCTGCTTTCCTCCTCACCCTCATGGAACAAGTTCTACAGGGCTTTTAGGCATATGTAGCAGCACTA